AAAAAAATCCCTGTACCCCCCCTCAGGGATGGTCTTCTCAATAATGACAATTTTTTCGATAACTCAGCCATTTCGTGACGGATCCTTTTCATCTTCGAACTCAACCAAGACATTGTTAAGACTGAACTGTGTAGAAAATTTCATCATGATCTGACTCTCCTTTTGAAAGTTATCGTGTAAACGGCCGGCCGGACATACTAACCGATTCTAGAGTGTACTCACTTTTTGAGTACACAAAAAGAAGAAAATTGAAACAATGAAAATTATTAATCATAAATACAAACGTGTGCGTTTCTTTTTCATTGCACTTAAACCAGATGTTAAGTTTTGTTCTAATTGTGATCGTTTTCTTGATGTTAGTTGTTGTTGTTGTTGGGAAACAGCAGTTGAGCCAACTAAATCATCGATTTCATCGATTGGCTTCAAAGACAAGAAAAAAATATACACATAGAAGAATTAACCGAGAAATATCAGAATAGATTTTACTAATAAAAATTTATTTCATAACTGGAATCGATCAGTTTTAACTGACTTAAAAAATATTCATTCGTTTTAATAAAATACTTTGAAAAAAAAAGTGCACCGTACCTAACGATACCTTGAGAAGTTATTTTCATCAATTTCTCTTTATTTTATAATTAAATTTCCACTCATCACAGTGAAATTCACTAATGAAAGAATGTTTTCAACTATCCAATTATAAGTTTTGTGCTAAAACGAACGAATCTATCAATAATTAAATCTCTTCTCTGATTTCTAAAATATTTTCTTGAGAAAAATTTTAAATTAAAAAGATATTTTTTCATACTTTGTTAACTTTAAATGGATTTCCAAAGACATGTTGTCTAACTGGTTGAGCATCAATTTCTCTTAATGGTGCAACTTGTGCATTAGCACGTGGATATTCATCATAATTTGACATTTCTTTAATAGGTACAGAATGTAAAGCATCTTCATCTTGTATTTCATAATTATTTGTATTTTGTACTAAATGTCGACGTAATTTTGTAACAACATCAAGTAATTGTGATCGTGGAATATCAAATACATTTCTTAATACGAGATTTAAAAAAAAAAGCAACAATTTATTTTTTAAATATTGAAGATTTGTCTTTATTTTTTTTTTTTGCTTACAAATATAATTGTAATGGTTGTTGTTGTTTAGAATTTATTTTTGATTGTAAAACAAAATTATTATGAATTGAATCATCACCTGGTTCATGTAAATCTGCACTTGATGATGATGTCTTATCGAATAAAAGATCAGGACGTCTTTTTTAAGAAAAAGAAAATTAATTATGAAGAAGAAGAAGAAGAAGAAGAAAAATACAAACAATGGAAGAAGATGAATAAGTGGTGGTGGTTTTTCTTGCATTGGTGGCCATCGATCAAGTTCAGCTTTTGCTTGTGAACGAATTTTTTTTAAATATCCAAGCATTTGTGGTGAAAGAAGAATTGTTGGTTGTGTTGGATTTTGTTTATCAAATGATTCAAATACAAATTGAAGTTGTTTTCGTGATAGAACACGTCGTAATGGCTAAAATATATTCATTAATTTTTTTTAAGTATTAAAAAAATGAAACAATATTTACAACAAGATAATAAGGAGGAATCGATCGAAGATAAGCATCAAAACGATTTTGCCATGTTCGTGATACATTTGAACCATGTGCTTTATTTAATTCATCTTTAAACCAAAAACAAACAAAATTAATCATTTTAAAATATATAGGACACTACAAAAATTTTTTTTTTGCGCTCAGCTCTTCTAGATGTTATAGTATGAGAACAGAGTATTCTATTATAAACGCTCTTTGTGTTCGATGAAGTTGATATCAGTTAACGGATGATTAAAAACAGTGACGAGTAGTGCCCTGCGGTTCCAAAAAAATTGGAACCGGGAACCGTTAACTTAGTCACTTGCTATTTTATATTTTACAGTAAAATTATCGGTTCCTTTTTCGGTTCCTAAAATTTGTTCGGAACCGAAAAAGGAACCACTTTTTTTCGATTTCAGGAACCGGAACCGACGGTTCCGGTTCGGTTCTCGGGTAATGTTAGAAACCGCAGGGCACTAGTGACGAGCTCATTTTTTCTGAAGAAATTTAATCCTATCGTGTATTCATTATGATAAAAAAGAAAAAGTCAAAAGCTAATCCATGAAGACAAAATTAGCGGCTTTGAAGTGTCATTTTTCATGATGATATTGCAAGACGATATCGGATTTGGATTGCCAACGAATATTTGGCCGAATATGATGTAGAATCATATCTAAATCTAACGAGGGGAGTTTCGCAAGTGATTAATCTCTTTTAAGCTCCGATTCATAGCTTATTGCTGTCGATATATTGTGAAAATTTCACATATTCTCATTGTTCCTATCCCAAGACACAGTCATGGTAATAGCGTTTCTTTTTTTGTACCTTACATATACACCCTCAGATTCGATATTCTTATTTTAGGCCTATAACATATCAAATAGTCTGATACTATCATAATTAAGTACTCTTTTCGAAGTATTCATAACCTATCATTTGGAAGATTTTCCTTGTGAATCTCTGCGATTTCGTCTTATTCAAGATTTCAATTCGATGACGATAACACAAAGTTAATTACGATTCAAATCAATCTTTCTAAAAACTAGCGACAAAAAGAAAAACATTTTTGTAGTGCCCTAGAAAATAGTTTTCATACTGAGTAATGTCGATAATTCTGGATAATTATATGGCATAATATATAGATTAACAGATGTTAAATTTGTGCTTGCTTTAAGATAACCAAATGGTGAACCAAGTTCAGTTGGACCAAGACGAGATGAACCTTGAACAAATACCTTAAATACAAAAAAAAAATTATAATAAAAATTTTATTTAAAAACAATATTCAACATACAGGCCAAGCCATTGTTGGTTGTCGACGTTCAAGTATATATTGTGTTAATGGTGATGGTTCTAATTCATATTTATCAAATGGAAACTTATCTGTAACTGTTGTACATGGAGTTGTTTGAAATTTAATTAGTGCATGTGCTGATCGTGATGGAAGTGAAAGCATTGCTGCTGTTGGCCAATAATCTTCAGGTATTGGCCAATTATATTCAGTTTTTTCTGTTTTAGGTAATGAACGTGGAATCATAATCATTTTTCGACATGAATGCCATGCACATCGTTCATTATCGCCTATTTTAAAATAAATACATAGAAAAATTTTTGAATTCAATTATTCTTCTAAATAATCTTTTTTTTTTCATACCTTCACTAATAACTTTTTCTAAATTAACAACAACACCAATTTGAATTTTTTGTACAAGAGATTCTAAACATTGAAGAAGTGTACGTTGAGAAGTAATTAAATATGAACGACCTATAAAATAAAAAATAATCATATTTATATTCAAAAAATAATTTATTAATTTTTTGTTTTTTTTCGTTTACCACCGGTTACATCACACATAGCAGTAATTGGTTGATCAATAGCAGCTGGAATAAATTGATTAGCAGGTACATCACCTAGACCAGGACCAGTTGAATTACCAGGAGCTCCACCTGCTGGAACTATTGATGAAGAAGTTGCAGGTAATGCAAGTACAATGGCAAATAAACGTTGATCCCATCGAAATGGTTCTTTTGTTAATTCACTACCTAATGGACCTGTATTCATAGGAATATTAATCTAAACAAAACAAAAAAAAAACGATTTCGAATATATACAAAAATTTATATATATATTTTCTTTTTTACTTCATTTTGTACACCAGCTAATGTAGTTAATTTTTGTTTATCTGTAATAACAATAATTAGTGATGGTTCAAGTAAATGTGGAAATCGACCACATCCATATGTATCATGATCAGCTGCATGTCGATTAAGATTAAGTAAATCAAAAGCTTGTTTTATTGCTGAACCCATCTGAGTTAATCCAGTTGCTTCAAGACTTTTTAATTGATTTGTAAATACAGTCATGGGTTCTTTCCATCCAACTTTAACATTTGTTGGTGGTTCGTCAAGTGTTAATAACATATATCGATCTGTTCGAGCTGCACCAGCATCTCGTTGTCGTATCTATATAGATAGAATATATTATATAAAGAAAAAAAGAAAAAGATATTAATTCGAACTTTAAGAAATTGTTCGATAGCTCCTTTGCCAATATCGAAAAGACTTGTACCAACATGAGTCATTTGATTCATTGATGCTGAATTGTCAAGAAGAAATATAACTACAGGCATTTTTAATTTGTTTAATTGATACTAAGAGCCGAGTAATAAATAAAACGATCTGATAGATTTATTGTTGTTTACTATCTTAGATCCACTGGTTAAAGACCATTCACAGTAGTCAATGTGATAGAGGACGCTAGTTGATGATGAATACATGATGTAACACATTATTATTATTATTATTATTATTCTGAATAGAAAATAATTTTAAATATTTTTCGATATTGATAACTGATAATGAAAAAAATTAGGTTTTATTATTCAAATTTTGCTTTCGATATTAATTCGAACTTTTATAATGAAAAATTATGGCAAGATATGTCTAATGACAAGCAGTGCATAACATTTTCTTAAGAATCCTTCTTTTCCAGTAATTCTCAATATTAGGCATGTATTTTTTTAAGCAGAAATAAATCAATTCCTGGAATTTCTAATTGGCAAAGTTCAATGCAAACTCATTAGTACAAAATTATTCAAATTATGAATTGACTTCAATTTCATATATCAAATGCATCACTTCCATCTCAATAAAATACTCGAGTTATTGTTCGCGATGCTCTGTTAAACAATATATTGTTCAATTTTCAAGCGTTTTTTTTCTGATTCACTGATGTATGGTAATAGAAGAAAAAAAACTAAATTATAAGAACAGCAGTAAAGGACGAGTAAGATATTTCTTCCGTTAGATTCATTTATTGAAGATTTCCATATGTGCCATCATACAGTAATGATACTGTTGAATTTCGTTCATTTTTCTATTGAAATGCAATCTCAGTCATAATGGTCTCGTGTATTAATGTTAAAAAAGTTCAGCAATACCGAAAAGTGACACTATCTTTCGCCCTCGTAGAGTTATGTTTACATTGAAGGTAATAGATTACAGTTTTACTATTCTACCGTTTTCAGTTTTGTTTCTCGTCTGTTTTATTTCTTATACATCTAGCAATCAACATTTTTTCTTTTCTGCTTTGACGAACGTTTCAGTAGTTTCATCATATTATTCACGGCAATAGCATTATACACGATTGATTCGTACGCAGAACGATAAATTTAATGATATAACTCTAATCTGGATCGACGTTCAAGTTGATACCAGTGCCGACTGCTTACATGCCAAGGGACGTTTGCACCTTATCGTCAATGTTCTTAAGACTTTCAACAGTTTAGACCAGTGTATAAACTACATTGAATCTAGTGACGATGATGAACACATTTGTGTAATTATATCAGGTCGATTCAGTGAGGTTTTCATATCTGCCGTTATTAATCTACCACAAATTGCTTGTATAGCTATATAGTAGTGTTTTGATGAGTTACACTATCATGATTCTTTTAGCTATGGTACTCAGCGATCTCCGAAATTTATCCGTACTTTCATGGAATTTGATCCATTACTTGATGCACTCAATCAACGAGCAGTAATTGTACGTAACTCACTATTGTGTATTTCATCGTTCTCATATCAATGTGGTAATAAACGATAACATTTTGTGAAGAATTTATTTGAAGAAAATGCTATTTTTGTGTAGTTTCAACTTCTTATTCACACAGTTTTTTATCTGCCACATACTGATGCACAGCACGAGTCAAAATGATTCACGAATGCGAACGAGAACACGATGGAAATAAACCTGTATTGATCAAGATTAAGGAATTTGAAGAAAAATATAAAGCTAATGACGCATTTTCATGGTATACACGTGACTCATCTGTATATCGAATGGTCAATCGAGCATTGCGCATATAAAATATTGATCTTATTCTCATGTTCGACTCATTTATTGCTGATCTTCATGATCAATTGAGAGCATTACATGTCGAATTTCTCAAAGAAAGTTCATACCACTAAATTAAAGAAAATTACTCGAAATGTGGGTAATCTCTTCTCAATGAATTCATTCTTTTCGATCAAACTCAATCGCACACTAGCACATCATTTTGCTGGCGACGCCAATCAAGCAACCAATGGACTTGTTTCAATTCTTTATGAAGTACATATTGATACTGAAGTAACTGCAGCTCCATTTAGCAATATTGCTGAATACAGTTAATGTCATGGCGAAGAAGAATTTCTCTTTTCAACCAGTGCCATCTGTCTTATTGAATCAGCGGAAGAAACTATCGATGATCTAGGTCGAGTTTAGCTTGTTAGTATGCGCCTAGTTTGATGAGCAGCATGAACACGAATTTAATGATCTTTTCGAATATTTGAAAACACAAATTGGTGAAACAAGTTCTGTTGTAACACTTGCTTCATTTCTATTTTAAATGAATAATTTAAAATCTATGGAGCGATCCAGCAAAATACTACGCGATGAATTGCCAAAAGATCATCAGGATCTGCGTACTGTATTGAACAAGCTTTGAATGAATATGCTGCAGATGTTGTTCCTCGCCCCGCTTTGTATTCCAATTACGTATGGCAACATAGCATCTGTTCATTATTCTTCGGATAATTTGAAGCAAGCCGGAACTGGCCATAGAAAAGTTCTCGAGCTTCAAGAAACTTGTCTAGATTCTAATAATGAGCTATTAATTACAACTGAAAGTAATCTTGGCTCTATCTTGCAAAGTCAAGAAAAACTACAGCACACACTCGAAAATGTGCCAAAAAGCACTAACGCAAATATGCTTAACGAATTTAGTCGCGTGTACCTTCTTCACAACGAACCCATCCAAGCTTTTAGCTACTATAAGCAAGCATTGAATATATTGCCGACTGATTATCCGAACAGAGCTATCGTTTACGAACGACTAGGTGCCATAATTATTCAGAGAAACTAGTAACTATAAAACTGCCAAAATTGCTTATGAAAAGGCCACTTGCTTGAATACTGACAATGAAATCGAACTTGCTAGTAATCTTCATTCTCTTGGTTTGGTTCATTCCAATCAAGATGAAAATGAACAAGCAATAGAGTTATACATGTGTGGGTAGATACTTGAAATACAAACTCACATCCACATCCATAATAGGATCAAAGTCTAAACCGCACTAATGGACTCCTTGATCTGAATCTAAGACGTGTCATTCATGAAAATTAAAGGGTTGAATTCGATTTTTATAATTTTGCCAATCTTGCTTAATTCAAAAGCAAATCTTGATTCAATTCAAATAAATGATTTTCATTACAAAATTATTGCCACTCATCGCAAGAGTAACCTGTCGAGAGAACAATTTCGTTTATTTCATCATTAAATCAATTTTAGAATACTGGAAATATTATTCATCTACTTAGCGCAATGAAATTCCTTTCTGGTCTCAACTTTTTTTTTTGACACATGTCGAATCCAATTTGTTTAGTTGGGTTTGAACAGCGTCTATACTTGTCTGGAGACTACAAATTTGAGTTTCTGCGCTTTCAACAGTAGCGGCAACTTTCATGAATTGCTGCTGAATCCTAATAGGGTTCTTGTCGTATATGTGTTGGAAGCATTGCTTTAAGCTGTGCTTTTCAGCTCTTGGCCGCCCAGACAGAGGTAACTGACACAGTTGGCACGGTACCCGTTCAAATTCACATTGTTCTTCATGCTGTTCAAGAGTATCATATAGGGAAATCACTGGACACCCATTTTGAGCATATACACAGTGCACTTGTAGTGTGGCAAGACGAGCAATGACGTCTGAAGAAACTGATGTCTCTCGAAATTTTTGACAGCAATTCGACTGTTGTGAGTAGTTTGACACGAACATTGTGAGCATTTTTTGGATGAAGCTTCGTGGAGCACATTTCTTGCAGAAGACTTTTCTGCAATTCAAGCAAGCTATTGGTCTCCAAAGTATATTTTGACATATCGCACAGAGCAAATCATTGTTCCATGTAGAACGTGATTGGTTATCGGGAACGAGACGCGTCTGATCGAGAGTACCGGTTTCGGCTGTGGATTTTATATGAGTTCGTCGAATTATGTTCTACTTGGAAAAATTCAAAATTTTAATTATATAAGAATACTACAATAAAACCTACGCCAGCATTGTCTGGTTGCTTGTCTTCCATAATCCCACTCGCCTGTAACAATGTGGTTTGATCACCTTAATAAAAAGAACTAATTAGATAGAGTTTTTTCACCTTTGAGCTATTTCATTGAATATAGTTTCGACAATTTAATCAGAACAAACAACGGATTTCACAGTAAACATCGGTATGAACAGTCATTCATGCGAATATTTCATAGACATACACGGAAAAAAGATCTTGAGCAATGATTGATATGATACAATCGAGACACTTTCATCATCATTTCAGATGGAACAAAATGAAAGTGCCTTCATCGACTGGAAACAAAAGTTGACGGTAACCTGTCATTGGCACGACTCTCAATTATGATATTGTGATTATTGGGAATCCAAAATGCCTTTGTCACAGCAATTATCGGGCATTGTTTTCGGTCCTTTGATGAGCATTACCTACGAGGGAAATAGAGATGCAGAATCTATCCACGTGCGCACACGAACATTCGAGGAAACTTTTGAAAACTTATTAGCATCTGGGGAAATTTTTCGAAAAATAATGGGTGCTCCATAATGGATGTTTTACTTTTATTTTCTACCTTTGGGGCATTTAACACTTATTCAAATTTTAGTTCTGATCTCGTTGAATGGAGAATGTAATTCTCTACAAAACTACTGACTTTGTTTTTCTGAGAGATTTTTCATGCAGGCGTAAACTTCATGAGATTAAAACTTATTGAATTGTCAAACTACGATTTCCTATTTTGTTACAGATAAAAAACGATTTGTGTGAACATGTGTTCATCAAGATCAATGCTAAAAGCTAAATATTGTATACGACAAGATAGAGGATATTTTTTTGCTCTATGCTCACGAACTTAGCAAAAGTTCTAAATATTTTATTCAGGGGAATAAAAGTTGCAAACTAATACCTGAGGGTATTTTTGGATGTATAATGAGAAATTATCTTATCATAAATCCGATTCGTCCTATAAAATGCTGATTCTCGTACCATCGGATGCACAATTAAATTCTGAACAAACTGGTGCATGTATTC